ACTTCACTCAACTGCTGTCAGGTGGAAATAAAATGAGAATATAATGTATTGAAGTACTCAAATAACAACAAATATTATATCCAGTGCTTCAAATATACTAAATCTACTGGTTCTTGCTCACAATGTTGCTCTTCAATGTAAGTCCTACACCATTCCTTTAAACATTCCACAAACACTGGGAGCACCACCCACCTGCCCACAGCCAGACGCTGGCGACTCCTCCTCCGGAAAGCTGTCCCTGACTAGCCCCAGCCTGAGCCATTTCCTTTTCTCAACTCCTGGCCACTCTTGCTACCACCATCCATGTCAACACTTACTCACATGCAAATCTGCATCAATAGCGCTACGTGTTTTTCTTTCCTATAAAACTGATCATTGTAAAGAACAGAAAACAATGTCTGATTTGTTTATCATCACAATGAAGACCACACTTAAGAAGAAAAGTAACTAAGAAGAGGGTCCTAATAAGCTTTGGCTTTGCTCAAGAGCTCAGGCCCCTGGCCATCACATCCATTTGGTAGCATAATGCACAGCCCGGTACAGTACTGGTTTTCAAACTCTTTCTTTCTTTCTTTCTTTTATTTTGAAACCAAGTCTCACTCTGTCATCCAGGCTGGAGTGCAGTGGCGTGACCTCGGCTCACCGTAACCTCCGCCTTGCAGGTTCAAGCGATTCTCCTGCCTCAGTCTCCCCCCAGTAGCTGGGATTACAGGCGCACACCACCACACCCAGCTAACTTTTGTATTTTTAGTAGAGATGGGGTTTCACCATGTTGGCCAGGCTGGACTCAAACTCCTGACCTCAGGTGATCCGCCACCTCAGCCTCCCAAAGTGCTGGGATTATCAGCCACCACAGCCAGCCCAAACCATTTCTTAACAGCAGGACACTTTCAACAAATAAATCAATATATAAAATTGATAAAAGCAGATGAACTCTTTAAAATGAGAGGGAGGCCTCAAGTACCAGCCTGATGTCTGCCCCGCCCTGGGCCCCTGCACGGCACCCCTCAGCTATGTGACGGGACTGAAAACCTATGAAGCAGGGAGCCAGGCTCTGAAAACCTATGGAGAAGGGAGCCAGGCTCTGTCAGGACACCACCTCCAACACGCACAAAGTTGCCTAATTAATTTGACACCTCTCCTCCATCTGCTCTCCAAAAAGCTCTCTAGTTCTCACTCCCTAGACAGTCAGTCAGGTCCCAGGCTTAAAGGTAATGTCTTCAATGTAGAGAATCCTTTTCAAGCCCAGAGTTCCTGAGCAGCGCTCACACCAAGAGTGAACAACTCACTGGGGCGACATTTTCCCCCTTTTCTCTTAACAAACGTCAAACTTCCTTAAAGCAAACCAAAATAAAGCTAAATAATGCCTTGGGCAATGAGAGGAGAGCTGGAACAAAGAGGTAAGTGGCTTGTCAGAATTCTGCAGAGAACAGTTTGTAGAACACGCTTCCTTATATTCATCATTAGTGGAAATTATGGAACGAAATTCTAACAACATTAGGACCTGTCTTTTTGTTGCTAAAATAAATCCAGACAACAGGAATGGGCTGAGTGTGGACACGTGAATCACCAGTGAATTAGAATTTTTCAGCATTCAGCACCAACAGAAACGAGTCAGGAGGCCTGCGATAAGTGAAAACAGAAGTTGCCATAGTAACTTGCACATTTACCCTAAAATGGCGGGAGTGGGGGTGGGGAAATAGGTCAATGTTTCTGCTTAACTAGCTCTATTCCTTGTCTAAAGGAGCATCCTCCTCCTTCCTCACCCCCAACAGGAGCGAGAGGGGGAAAGTCAGATGGGCTTTTCAAAAAACGAGGGCGGGGAGAGAGGTCTAGGAAGAGGGAAGAGAACCAAGAGGACCGCCAAATACACGCCTCGTGAGTACCCTGGGACGACCCCCTGGGGAAAGCAGTTGCTGATCAAGGGCAGCAGCGCTAAGAAACTGTTGCTGGGTTACTACAAATCAGGAATTGCCGTTTTTTCCTGTAGCGGTTGAAGTGCGTCTAATGGAACACTTGGGAGTGCATTATTAGCAGCTTTTGGGGCTGGGGTACTGGTGGGGAGGGAGGAAGACTCTGGCATGGGGAAATCTCGGGCCCTTAGCATTCTGATGGTTGAGAACTAAGAACGGGGCTGAAGGATGCCCCAAAAACAGAGAAGAGGAGGAAAGGGAAGCGTAGGGGGTTCCTTTTCAAAATAAGCTGGTTTTGTTAACACAGAAGCAGTGCCCTTTACTATGTGGACCTGACATTACTACTCATCCAGGAGGGCCAGGAGGACTCGGTCTCCGAGCTGGTGTGGCGTGCCAGGGCGCATTGTCCGCTCTTCCACCTGCGCTGCCGACCCATGGGGGAGGCGGGTTAAGCAGAAAGCACTTGAAAACAGGTGCAGTTCCACTGTCCTGCAGCTGTGCCTCCACGGGGCTAACTCAGAGCATTACTGATGATTTTAACCCTGTGGTGTGAGGGCCCTGGTATTCTAGAAAATGACAGAAAGGATAATCCTTCGGGGTGGTGAGGGGTGTTAAACAAGGAGAAGCATCTTTTAAAGCAGAGACTATTTCAAACACAGACCTCTAGATACCTTGTGCACTGGCCAGGAGTCTACGCTTCAGGGAAAGGGCCATTCAAATGGCACTGGGGAGCGTACTTCAACCCCGCAGCGCTTCTAGCTGCAGAGCAGGACAGGCTCCACCTCGAATGTAAGCTCCCGTTTTCAGAAACATGGCGGCATCTGCAAACTGTTCCCTTGTGCCACATGTCTCTACTCCTCTACCCTACAAGGGCAGGGAAAGAGACTCACACACACAGCAACAGGTAAGATGACTTCAGAGACCAAGAGCGGCCAAGAGCTTGGGAGAGCGGCACCCAGAACCAGCCTGCCGCAGGCGCTGGGGGGAGACGTAAAGCAGCAGGTGTCGGTCCCCGCACATATAAGGAAAGGAAGAGCCCGTGCTGAGCAGGGTGTGCAGACGCTTCAGTTGCGAATCTCCAGGCAACAAGAAGCCAACCACACCTGGGAGGGAACTGTGAGAACCAGCAGAGGCTATTCTGTCACTGCCTCTCAGCACTGCCCAGATCATTGGGTCTGGCCAGCTCAGAGGCGGTTTTCCTTTACCTATAGCAGCACTGAGGACAAAGAGACATTTGTGAACAAATCTTTTTTTTTTTTTTTTTTGAGACAGGGTCTCACTCTGTTGCCCCAGGCTGAAGTGCAGAAAGTGCAGTGACACGATCGGGGCTCACTGCAGCCTCCACCTGCCGGGCTCAAGTGATCCTCCCACCTCAGCCTCCCCAGCAGCTGGGACTACAGGCATGCGCCATCAAAATACAAAAATCGTTGTATGTTTTGTAGAGATGGGATTTCACCATGTTGCCTAGGCTGGTTTCCAGCTCCTGAGTTCAAGTGATCAGCCCGCCTCGGCCTCCCAGAGCGTGGAGATCACAGGTGTGAGCCACCAGGTCTGGTCACAAATCATTTCCTTAAACTTTTTATTCCAGAAAATGTTCTAGCATACACAAAATAGAAAGAGATAATGATCTATCACCCAGCTTCAAAAATGGTTAACATTCTGGTGCGAATCTGAAAGCCGAGATAGAACCCTTCATTAGAATGATCCCCGCGTGTTACACATCAAAACCTGCAATCCAAAAAGTCAACTTCTGCGTTCTCCAGGAGCCCCAGGAGGCAGCTATTCTAGGAAAGCGGCGGTGGTAAGGAAACGGAAGAGACCTCACTTTCAATTCCTGAGGAATGTCCACCAGCGTAATTATACCTGCAAAATGTTTCTACAGGTTATGTTACCTCAATTTTCTTTTTTTTTTGAGATGGAGTCTCGCTCTGTCGCTCAAGCTGGAGTGCAGTGGCCATATCTCAGCTCGCTGCAAGCTCCGCCTCCCGGGTTCACACCATTCTCCTGCCTCAGCCTCCCAAGTAGCTGGGACGACAGGCGCCTGTGACCACGCCCGGCTAGTTTTTTGTAATTTTTTTTAGTAGATACGGAGTTTCACCGTGTTAGCCAGGATGGTCTCGATCTCCTGACCTCGTGATCCGCCCGTCTCGGCCTCCCAAAGTCCTGAGATTACAGGCTTGAGCCACCGGGCCCAGCCCTTGTTTTTTTAAAAATATTTTATTTTATTTATTTTATTTATTTTTTTTTTTGAGACAGAGTCTCGCTCTGTCACCCAGGCTGGAGTGAGTGGCGCGATCTCGGCTCACTGCAAGCTCAGCCTCCCGGGTTCAAGCCATTCTCCTGCCTCAGCCTCCTGAGTAGCTGGGACTACAGGCACCCACCACCACGCCCGGCTAATTTTTTGTATTTTTAGTAGAGACGGGGTTTCACCGTGTTAGCCAGGATGGTCTCGATCTCCTGACCTCGTGATCCGCCCGTCTCGGCCTCCCAAAGTGCTGGGATTACAGGCTTGAGCCATCACGCCCGGCAAAATATTTTATTTTTAATACTTTTGAGACAGTCTTGCTCTGTGGCACAAGCTGGAGTGCAGTGGCATAGTCTCAGCTCACTACAACCTCTGTCTCCTTGGTTCAAGCAATTCTCGTGCCTCAGCCTCCCTAGTAGCTGGCATTACAGGTGTGCACCACCACGTCCAGCTAATTTTTGTATTTTTAGCAGAGACACGGTTTCACCATGTTGGCCAGCAGGTCTCAAACTCCTGGCCTCGAGTTATCCACCCAGCTCAGTTTCCCAAAGTGCTGGAATTACAGGCATAAGCCACTGTGCCCGGCCACATTTTTAATTCCTAAAAGACACATTTCTGTCTGCTAAGCAAATACCACTGTGTTATACAAACTCACAGAGGAAGGCTCCACGGGCTCCAGGACCAGCCTTCTAGGTGTCTTGGTGACAACCCCTTTCCATTTTGACATAAGTATTTGGGGCAAACTTCAGTTAAACAGGACACTAGTGATTCAGTTCACTTATGACTGACCGAAACCCACCATGGGCTGGCAGGTGGCGAAGCTGAGCAAGGTCTGTACTTACTGGTACTGTTACATCATCGTAAAAACTCCAAGCTAAGGCCCATCTCATCGTCCGACCTTGACAGAATTCAGTGTAGGTGACTTTAGGAACCTGAAACCAACAAAGATAGCATCTCATCAAACTGAAATCACTCTACCAATATGTTTCTGGCTGCCACCTCATGCTATATTATGTTGATCCTTCTTTTTTTTTTTTTTTTTTTTTTTTTGAGACGGAGTCTCGCTGTGTCGCCCAGGCTGGAGTGCAGTGGCCGGATCTCAGCTCACTGCAAGCTCTGCCTCCCGGGTTTTTACGCCATTCTCCTGCCTCAGCCTCCCGAGTAGCCGGGACTACAGGCGCCCACCACCTCGCCCGGCTAGTTTTTTGTATTTTTTAGTAGAGACGGGGTTTCACCGTGTTAGCCAGGATGGTCTCGAACTCCTGACCTCGTGATCCGCCCGTCTCGGCCTCCCAAAGTGCTGGGATTACAGGCTTGAGCCACCGCGCCCGGCTGTTGATCCTTCTTTTTAATCAGCTAACAAACAATATTATCAAACAACAGTTATACACAGCTACCTAATAATAACTCATCTCTCAATAAAGTTGTATTTTTTTCTCCCATAAAACATAAGAGAATTTATAGATGTGACTTAAAGGTTCAAATATATGAAACACCAAAAACACAGCTCTTTAGAGAATTATTTGTAATATGACTCAAGTGAGTTTTTTTTTGTTGTTTTTTTTTTTTTTTTTTTTTTTTTGGCGGAGTCTCGCTCTGTGGCCCAGGCTGGAGTGCAGTGGCCGGATCTCAGCTCACTGCAAGCTCCGCCTCCCGGGTTCACGCCATTCTCCTGCCTCAGCCTCCCGAGTAGCTGGGACTACAGGCGCCCGCTACCTCGCCCGGCTAGTTTTTTTTTTTTTTGTATTTTTAGTAGAGACGGGGTTTCACTGTGTTAGCCAGGATGGTCTTGATCTCCTGACCTCGTGATCCGCCCGTCTCGGCCTCCCAAAGTGCTGGGATTACAGGCTTGAGCCACCGCGCCCGGCCTTGTTGTTTTTTTTTTGAGACAGAGTCTCACCCTGTCACTCAGACTGGAGTGCAGTGGTGCGGTCTTGGCTCAATGCAACCTCTGCCTCCCAGATTCAAGCAATTCTCCTGCCTCAGCCTCCCGAGTGGCTGGGATTACAGGTGAGTGCCACCATGTCCAGCTAATTTTTGTATTTTTAGTAGAGACGGGGTTTCACCATCTTGGCCAAGCTGCTCTCGAACTCCTGACCTCAAGCAATCTGCCCACCTTGGCCGCCCAAAGTGCTGAGATTACAGGTGTGAGTCACCTAAGTGGCCTCAAATGATTTTTTGTTTTCTTTTCTAGAAAGAAAGCCAACTAAAGCCTGACTAGATACAGATAGATAATCTCTTTTATCAATCAGATTTTAAGAAAGGTAAAGGAACAAGTTTGTAGCTCTCACAATTTACCCAAGAAATGGTATTGTGAGGAAAAGAGGAAGAAAGAATAGGACGTCAGAGAGAAACCAGAGACCAGAAACTCTGCTCCTCCCACCGATGTGCATCTGACGCTTTTGCTGAGAAGTCCTCTGACTCACACCAAACACCAGAAACTGGGAGGAAAGTGGAAGTGGCGGGGGGAGCATTTATTTTATTTAAAAGAAAATTGTTTTGGGAGACAGGGTCTCACTCTGTCGTCCAGACTGTAGTTCAGTGGTGTGATCTTAGCTTGCTGCAACTTCGACTTCCCAGGCTCAATGGATCCTCCCACCTCAGCCTCCTGAGTAGTGGGGACTACAGGCGCGCGCCATCATACTTGGCTAATTTTTTGTATTTTTTTGTTGAGATGGGATTTCACTGTGTTGCCCAGGCTGGTCTTGAATTCCTGGGCTCAAGCATTCTGCCCGCCTCAGCCTCCCAAAGTGCTGCGATTATAGACATGAGCCACTTTGCCCCGCTTGGGAGTACTTACTTGTGATCTGCCTTCTGAAACAGGAGCAGGGGGCTCTACTCTTGTGGAATGTCGGAATGTCATCCTAGCGGGAAGCACACGGGACCGAGACTGTGTTCTGGTGCTGTTCCCCCAGAGCTAACTGCATGGCCCACAACAAAACCTTACACCTACCTAGCTTGAGTTTCTGGATCTATAAAGGAGTGAGTTGAACTTGTCTTGGAGGCATGGTAAAAAAAAAAATTTAAAAAAATTAAAAATAAAAAGGAGTTCGACGTGAGGTCAGTGGTAGATACCAGGTTTTTTGATTTCCGGTTTCTCTCTGACATTCTACTCATCTGTTTTTCTCCACCCTTCTCTGTTATAATTGTCAAAAAAGGCCTTGTTTTAATAATCTATAAAAAATACATTTTAGCCCTAAAAATATAGAACTTAGAAAACAAAACAAAAAAAATATTTAGAGTTTTAGAGTATAAAGAAAATTCTATACTCAAAACTACCATCAGAGTAGATACAGGTCAGGTGCGTGGGTCACGCCTGTAATCCCAGCGCTTTGGGAGGCCAAGGTGGGAGGATCACTTGAGGCCAGTAGTTTGAGACCAGCCTGGGCAATACAGCGAGACCCTATCTTTATAAAAAATAAGGATTACTTGAGTGCAGGAGTTTGAAACCAGTCTGGGCAACACAGAGAGACCTTGTTTCTACTAAAGATTTAAAAATTAGCTGGGCATGGTGGTGTGTGCCAACAGTCCCAGCTACTTAGGAGGCTGAAGTGGGAGGATCGCTTGAGCCTAGAAGTTTGAGGTTGCAGCAAACTATGATCATGCAACCACACTACAGTCTGGTTGACAGAGCAAGACCCCATCTTTTTCTTTTTTTTTTTTTTTGAGATGGAGTCTAGCTGTGTCACCAGGCTGCAGTGCAGTGGCACGATCTCAACTCACTGCAACCTCTGCCTCCCAGGTTCAAGTGATTCTCCTGTCTCAGCCTCCTGAGTAGCTGGGACAACAGGTGCCCGCCACCATGCCTGGCTAATATTTGTATTTTTAGTAGAGATGGGGTTTCACTATGTTGCCCAGGATGGTCTCGATCTCTTGACCTTGTGATCCGCCTGCATTGGCCTCCCAAAGTGCTGGGATTACAGGCATGAGCCACTGCACCTAGCCCGACCCCATTTCTAAAAAAAAAGAAAAAAAAAAAAAAAGAAAGAAAGAAAAAAGTATATGTGGCCGGGCGCGGTGGCTCAAGCCTGTAATCCCAGCACTTTGGGAGGCCGAGACGGGCGGATCACGAGCTCAGGAGATCGAGACCATCCTGGCTAACACGGGCGAAACCCCGTCTCTACTAAAAAAAATACAAAAAAACTAGCTGGGCGAGGTAGCGGGCGCCTGTAGTCCCAGCTACTCGGGAGGCTGAGCCAGGAGAATGGCGTAAACCCGGGAGGCGGAGCTTGCAGTGAGTTGAGATCGGGCCACTGCACTGAAGCCTGGGCGACAGAGCAAGACTCCGTCTCAAAAAAAAAAAAAAAAAAAAAAGAAAAAAGTATATGTATATATGAAAAATAACCTCAAGATGGGCTAAAGACTTGAATGTAATACCTGAAAGTATACAAAATACTAGAAGACTTAGTTCCAAAGGAAAAGAAATCATTAGGTGGGGTACAACGATGCACACCTGTAATCCCAGCACTTTGGGAGGCTGAGGTGAGAGGACTGCTTGAGCCCAGGAGTTTGAGACCAGCCTGGGCAGCACAGCAAGACCCCATCACTACTAATAAAAAAAAAACAAAATAGCTAGGGATGGTGCCATGTGCCTAGAGTCCCAGCTGCTCAGGAGGCTGAGGCGGGAGGATGGGTTGAGCCCAGGAGGTCAAGGTTACAGTGAGTCATGATCCCACCACTGTACTCCAGCCTGGGAACAGAGCTAGACCTGGTCAAAAAAAAAAAAAAAGAAAAGAAAGAAAAGATATCTGGACTTGAATTAACTTAAGTATCCATCAACAAAGGATTGGATAAAAAAAAAAAAAAATGTAGGCCGGGCGCAGTGGCTCAAGCTTGTAATCCCAGCACTTTGGGAGGCCGAGACGGGCGGATCACAAGGTCAGGAGATCGAGACCATCCTGGCTAACACGGTGAAACCCCGTCTCTACTAAAAAAAACAAACAAACAAACAAAAAAAACTAGCCAGGCGAGGTGGCGGGCGCCTGTAGTCCCAGCTACTCGGGAGGCTGAGACAGGAGAATGGCGGGAACCCGGTAGGCGGAGCTTGCAGTGAGCTGAGATCCGGCCACAGCACTCCAGCCTGGGCGACAGAGCGAGACTCTGTCTCAAAAAAAAAAAAAAGTAGTATACACATATAATGGAATACTATTCAGCCATAAAGAAGAATGAAATTGTGTCTTCGGCAACATGGATAGAACTGGAGGCCATTATCTTTTTATTTTTTTATTTTTATTTTTTTTTTTTTTTTTGAGACGGAGTCTGTCTGGAGACAGCCTGTGTCCAGTCTGTTGCCCAGGCTGGAGTGCAGTGGTGCAATCTCGGCTCACTGCAAGCTCCGCTTCCCAGGTTCATGCCATTCTCCTGCCTCAGCCTCCCAAGTAGCTAGGACTACAGGCGCCCACCGCCACACCCAGCTACTTTTTTTGTATTTTTAGTAGAGACAGGGTTTCACCATGTTAGCCAGGATGGTCTTAATCTCCTAACCTCGAGATCTACCTGCCTTGGCCTCCCAAAGTGCTGGGATTACAGGCGTGAGCCACCGTGCCCAGCCAGCTGGAGGCCATTATCTTATGTGAAACAACTGAGACATAGAAAGACAAACACCACATGTTCTTAGTTCTAAGTAGAGTTAAATAATGTGTACACATGGAAGCAAAGTATGGAATGATGGATGAATGAAGACTTGTGGTTGGGGAGCGGGAGACCGGGTGATGGGAGGTTGCTTAATTGTTCCAGTGATAGTTACATTGAAGGCCCTGACTTCACCACAATGCAATATATCAATGTAGCAAAACTGTACTTGTGCCCCATGGATACAAAGAAAAGTAGCTACGTGAGAACAGTAATGAGGAAGCCTCACCCCTTGTATGCGAAGCTCTTCCTTCAGAGGCGCCAGGCTGCATTTCTTTCCCAGCATACAGCTATACCATCTAGGGGAAAAAAAAAATCAGACAAGTAAACACTGTTTATGTGGTTAAAATTTTAAACTAAGCTTATTCAAGTGAATAAGATGAGAATAGTAACAAACACACACTGAGTAAGGTCACAAGTGAAAAATAACAAGAATTGCATATAATGTATTTAGACAAAGACCAAATCTAATGATGGAAAACAAGCCCAAGGCAACTTAATAAAATATATATATATATATAAATGCACTTAGCCTCTCCAGTGCTTCAGGGCTATATATTAAATATTTGAGTAAAGCAGTCTCATCTGTCATGCTTACAATGAAGGCTGTTTAGCTCTAGGACAGAAATTAGAAAATAAAGAACAACAAAAACATCATACTAAGAGAACTTATAAGATCCAGCATGAACCTATATTGTGAGATGTCCTCATCTGCAAGTAATTTAAGGATAGATAATGAGTTTCAACAGATCATGAAATCAATTTGTTCTAGAGTAAAAACAAATCCAGAAGAAGGAATGTGGAGAAGTTGGACTGAACTGATTAAAAGGTAAAGAGACAGAATTTATTTCTTCTGATTATTCTGAAAAGTTTGTAAAGGACCTCTGCTTCAGCCCATGAAAGATGAGTTACTACAGGAATTGCCCTTCCACCATAAACAACCAGGAAACTGGACAAAACATATAAAAGAGCTGTTTTTCAGACACTGGACAACTGGCAGTGCAGACCTACAGTCCCAGAAACAAACAAGGTGAGTCTGCATTTGCCAGAGCTTCCTACTTGAAGGAAATTCCCAGACTGCAGTACAGGGAAAAGAAATTCGAACACAGTCCAACGTCTTGCTGAGTTGACGAGACACAGATCGAAGGTCACACATGCTGACGGAGTTAATGATTTGTAAAGCAAATTAACAACAGCAAATGAAACCCAAGTAAGAAGAAGAAAGGAAAAAACAAATAAAGATTAGAGCAGAAACTGAGGAAAGAGAAAACAAACAATGGAGAAGAATAATGAAATCAAGAGCTGGTTCTTTGAAAACAAATTTTCTTGAAGTCAAGAAAAAAAGAAGACGTGAACTCTCAGTATCAGAACTGAAAGAGCGGACGTCCCACAGATCCTCCAGGTATTAAAGGATGTGAAGGGAGTATAGAACAACTTTTTGCCAACAAATTTCACAACTCTGATGAAACAAATTCCTTCAAAAACACAAACTACCCAAGATTACTCAAGAAGAAATAGATAACTTGAATAGTTTTTTTTTCTTTTTTTTTTTTTTTTGAGATAGAGTCTTGCTCTGTTGCCCAGGCTGGAGTGCAGTGGCACCATCTGGACTCTCTGCCACCTCCGCCTCCTGGGCTCAAGCGATTTTCCTGCCTCAGCCTCCCAAGTAGCTGGGATTATATGTGTGTGCCACCAGGCCCAGCTAATTTTTTTGTTTTTGAGACAGTCTCACTCTGTCGCCCAGGCTGGAGTACAGTGGCGTGATCTCCACTCACTGCAACCTCCGCCTCCCGGGCTCAAGCGATTTTCCTGCCTCAGCCTCCCAAGTAGCTGGGATTATATGTGTGTGCCACCAGGCCCAGCTAATTTTTTTGTTTTTGAGACAGTCTCACTCTGTCGCCCAGGCTGGAGTACAGTGGCGTGATCTCCACTCACTGCAACCTCCGCCTCCCGGGCTCAAGCGATTTTCCTGCCTCAGCCTCCTCAGTAGTTGGGATTAAAAGCATGCGCCACCACACCCTCCTAATTTTCTTTTGTATTTTTAGTACAGACAGCATTTCACCATGTTGGCCAGGCTGGTCTCAAACTCCTGACCTCAGCTGATCCACCCACCTCAGCCTCCCTAAGTGCTGGAATTACAAGCATGAGCCACTGTGCCTGACAAAGAAATAGATAACTTGAATAGTTCTCTATCAATTAAAGAAACTGAATTTGTATTAAAAACTTTCCAGACCCAAGTCACTTTCACTAGTGAATTCTACTAAACATTTAAGGAATAAAAAATATTAATTCTATGCAAACTCTTCCAAAAAATTTTACAAGAGGGAACACTTCCCAACTCATAAGGCCAGTATTTATTTATTTATTTTTATTTATTTATTTTGAGACAGACTCTCACTCTGTCGCCCAGGCTGGAGTGCAGTGGCACGATCTCGGCTCACTGCAAGCTCCACCTCCTGGGTTCATGCCATTCTCCTGCCTCAGCCTCCCAAGTAGCTGGGATTACAGGCACCTGCCACCATGCCCGGCTAATTTTTTTATTTTTAGTAGAGACGGGGGTTTCACCGTGTTAGCCAGGATGGTCTCGATCTCCTGACCTCGTGATCCACCCACCTCGGCCTCCCAAAGTGTTGGGATTACAGGCGTGAGCCACCACACCAGGCCCATAAGGCCAGTATTACATCGACAAATCATATCATTTCTTACAATGATAAGAAAACTATAGGCCAGCCTGGTGACAGAGCGAGACTCCGTCTCAAAAAAAAAAAAAAAAAAAGTAAAATACTAATAAATCAACTGTATTTTCTTAGAGCAGCAATACATAATTTAGAAATTAAAATTGTAAAATGCCATTTATGGTAGCATGAAAATACATAAAATACTTAGGAATAAAATTCATATAATGTGTGTAAAGAAAACTACAAAGCACTGCTGAAAGATAAGACCTAAATAAATGAACAGCTAAACCAGGTTGGAATGGAAGACTCATTATTGTTAAGGTATCAGTTCTTTCCAACTTAATCTATAAATTCAACACAATCCCAACCATAAATTTTCATGAAAACTGATAAACTGAGGCTGAAATTTATATGGAGATGCAAAAGATTGCCACTGGCTAAAACGAATGTTTTTCCACAAAGCCAGGGCATCACTATGTTGCACAGGCTGGTCTCGAACTCCTGCACGCAAGCAGTCCTCCTGCCTCAGCCTCCCAGCATGCTGGGATCACAGGCGTGCGTCACCATGTCTGGCTGAAAACAATTTTGAAAAAAAATAACAAAGATAGAGGATGTGCACTGCCGGATTTCAAGACTTCTATAAAGCTATGATAATTCAGACCATATGGTACTGGCATAAGATAGACACAGATTAACAGAATGGAGCAGAGTCCAGAAATAACTCACTTATAAGGTCAGTTGATTTTAAACAAAGGCCCTTAAAAGTTCAAAATTGTGCTCTTTAAAAGAGATTCATAAAAATGCAAACCCAACTACAGACTGGGAGGAAATACTTGCAAAACACATTTGACAATGGACTGTACTCAGAATCTATAAAGAACAACCAGTCAGGCCGGGCGCGGTGGCTCACGCCTGTAATCCCAGCACTTTGGGAGGCCGAGACGGGCGGATCACTAGGTCAGGAGATCGAGACCATCCTGGCTAACACGGTGAAACCCCGTCTCTACTAACAAAATACAAAAAACTAGCCGGGCGAGGTGACAGGTGCGTGTAGTCCCAGCTACTCGGGAGGCTGAGGTGGGAGAATGGCGTGAACCCAGGAGGCGGAGCTTGCAGTGAGCTGAGATCTGGCCACTACACTCCAGCCTGGGCAGCAGAGCGAGACTCCATCTCACAAAAAAAAAAAAAAAAAAAAAAAAAAAAAAAGGCCGGGCGCGGTGGCTCAAGCCTGTAATCCCAGCACTTTGGGAGGCCGAGACGGGCGGATCACGAGGTCAGGAGATCAAGACCATCCTGGCTAACCCGGTGAAACCCCATCTCTACTAAAAAATACAAAAAACTAGCCGGGCGAGGTGGCGGGCGCCTGTAGTCCCAGCTACTCGGGAGGCTGAGGCAGGAGAATGGCGTAAACCCGGGAGGCGGAGCTTGCAGTGAGCTGAGATCCGGCCACCGCACTCCAGCCTGGGCGACAGAGCGAGACTCCGTCTCAAAAAAAAAAAAAAAAAAAAAAAAGAACGACCAGTCAGTAAGATTAATAAACCAATAAAAAGGAGATACGGGAATGACCAATAGGCACACGCGGATGCTTCCTATCACCAGCCACCAGAGAAATGCAGATTCTAATCATAATGAGAGACCACTACACCCACCCATGAGAACAGATACATTTTCAAAAGGTGACAACAGTACCAAATGGTGTCAACGGAAACTCTCAGATATTGCTGGTGGGAATGTAAAATACTGTACAGTCACTTTGAAAAGCAGCTTCTTATAAAGTTAAACATATACTTACAACAGGACCAGGAGTCCTCCTCTCAGGTATTTACTTAAGATGGAGGAAAATTTAATTACGCAGAAAAAATTATAAGCAAATGTTCAGTTTTATTCCTACTAGTCAAATCCTGGAAATGATCCAAATGTCCATCAACTGGCAAATGGATGAACAAACTGTGGTATCCTCAGCCTTTTTAGCAACAAAAGGGACAGGCCACTGACACAAAAAAAGCATGGCTATGCTACATGAAAGAAACCAGACAATCAAAACCTGCATTTTCTATGCCTCCATTTGTATGAAAAGTCTAGAACACACAAAACTGTTGGGACAGAAAGTACATCAGGACTACAGGAAGCTGGGAGCACAGCGTGGACAGACTGCAGAGGGGAACAGGAAACTTTTTAGGGTGACAGAAATGTTCCACTTTTGTCTAAACTCATGCAACTGCACACATAAATGGGAATCACTTAAGTTTACCTCAGAACGACTGACTGAAACATATAAATGTGGTTATCTTATACTTTCAAATGCACATAAAATAAGAGTTAACAATATCGTAATGTTTTACGTTTCCTTCTTGTTTTATAACAATTTAGCCAAACAATACATATTCTGTCTCCTGCCTTTCTCACTGAGCATTATAATCACCTGTGTCACAAAATTCACCTAATCACATTAAAAGGGAAATTTCAGATTAAAGGATATACACTCAATATTTAATTGTTTATATACAAAATGCATACTACGAAGATGAATTTTCAAGTGACTAAAATTCTAAGAGAATTTAAGAGTCTCTAAAATCACAAATTAGGTTAAAACTGTATAAAACTGACATTTTTATACATCA